AACGGTGAAGTACCGGCTGTAGGACCCGGACTCTGCTGCGCGAGGAGGGACCACCTCGATGGCCTCCATCCTCAAAGAGTGTCTACTTCTGTTCCATTACCAGAGCCTGCTCGGGGGCCCACCAGGGTGGGAAAGGCCCCATTAAATTGAGGCGGAGGAGAACCGAACTGGATTCTGTGGCCTCTCACTACAGTGTGCAGGACCCACTGAGACACGTTTGGCAGCTGGTCTCACCACACGTGCTTTTATAGCTTCCTGGTCATTACATCACCCGCCCGTGACGTCTCGCGCATCTATTGGTCCGATTACATACGAGGTTCAGAGCCGGTCACGCTGAAGGCCGTTCCCGAAGCATCCTCCGACGCAGCTCGGGTTCCTGAAGAGGAACTTGATCTTTTGATGAAACAACAAAACTGCATCTTTTGGTGAAACAATAGACTTCTCTCTGGTGATGCTGAACCAAACACTTAGTGTTATTAAGCCCCACCCCTTTTCATAAAATCAACTCTATCCAAGTAACAACTGATATACATTACCAAGTCCACGCCCACCAAGTCTTACTTTTTTTTCCGACTCAGATGTATTGAAGAACAGATCTGTTGTTACTTCTGTCACATCGTGACTTTAATTATACTTCCAATTATGATTTGCAAGCAACACCTATTGACAGATAAGACTGCATGATGTAGGTATTTGGCTCCTTGTACACGTTGGAGAAATAAGCCAATTATTTGGTTTACAGATCAAGGTATTGTATGCTCCAGGTAGCCCCGCCCACCTTGAAATCTCATTGGTCCAAAAATCACTCAACATGTAAGAATTTCAGCAAAGAACACATATATAGTCACATCGTGCAGAAGACAAATCGCTCATCCCTGGAAACTGATTGTGTCACGCCTGGTTAGGACACAGCGTCAGAGGCGTCCCTGTCATGAAATGCGATAGATAAAGAAAGGCAATAATAAAGCACACAGCTTGTCATGTTTCTCCTTCATATGATTAAGCTGGAAATGTTGTCCTCCCCGAGAAAGGCCTCTTCAAATAAATTTCTATCGTGTCTTTTTATAAGGTGAAGGGGCCACGGACTGAGAGGGTTCACTAGGTAGGCGCCATATTGCCTGCGATAAGATTAGGAGATTACTGGCCTTGACCTGCTCTAATGGCACTCGCCATTATTTGCACGACGCCTGCTTAGGAAGAGATCAAATAGACTGCCAACAACAAAGCCGTCAGCTCTCAAGGGTGTGCTGTCGAGATGGAAGAATCCAGCACAAACAACAGGGAGATTTCATCACACGCATGCATTACAGCCCTTCTGAGACTGAGAAAAACGGGACGGCTGCATCTCGAAATTGGCGTTTCTTGGTTTACACAATCGTGCTTAATGCTGAGTGTGCTTTTCCTCGCTTTTTTTAATTCCTCCGGATTCCAGGTTGCCAGGGCGTAACCGCCTGTTGTCCTGTCAAACCCTCGTAATACAGTGTGAGGAATGCAAGACGCAATCCGGTTAAATACCTGGGTGACAAATAAATGTATTGTAAAGGGGGAATTAATTCAGCGCTTGTACGACATGTGTCCTTATGACAAATAAGGGGGACATTTGTCAGTCTGTAGCACAGATGGCCCCGCTAGAGCAGTTGACAAATTACCCCCACCTTGCCTTTACTGGTCACTTGAGCGCAGGGAGCCGAGTGATGGCATTGTTAATCTGCAGCATTTGGCAATTCAAACTGCTTTCCCCCTGCTCGACGAAGAACTGCCTTGCTTTTAATGACCTTCAAACTGTCTTCTATTATTCATGCCAACCATCCCGGCAAGCATTCTGGTGCTAATAACTAATTAAGCAACAAATGACGAGCCTTTTGGATTTCAATTCCATACATTGGTGTAAATATTTTATGTACTTGGGTTGTTACTTTGCTTGATCCTGACACAAGCAGGCTTGTTACTAGAGCTACGTTTGATGTCTTATGATCATGCGTCTGGTTCCCTTGGACAGGTCATTCCCTTCAGTGTCAGATGATAGTGTGGATAACCTCAGGGAACGGCCACTTAATGGGCTTAAGAGAGATGCGGCTGTATGTAGGGTTGCTAAACAATACCTCAAAGAGTGGAAATGTCCTTAGTCGGTCTATAGCATGCAGTCATCAATTCTTAATGAGACAAATTATTGCACTGTAGCTCTGAAGAAGGGAAACTGCATTTAGGGCACTGTAAAGATACAGAGATTCCTCCATAGTACTGGCAAAGGAAGGAATAATTTTAAGTAATGATGCTATTAACTTAATGGGAGAGTTCACCCAAAAATAAAAATTCTGTCATAAGTTTTACACCCTATATACATAGTCTTTAGTGTCACATGATCCTTCAGAAATCATTCTAATATGCTGCTTTTGTTCCCAAGAAACATTTCATATTATTGCCAATCTTTAAAACAGTTGTGCTGCTTAATATTTTTTTGTGGAAACTGTGCTACATTTTTGTCAGAATTCTTTGACAGCTAGAAAATTGACACAGCATTTGTTTGAAACAAATATTTTTGTGACATTATAAATGTCTTTACTGTCACTTTTGATCAATTTAAGGCATCCTTGCTGAATAAAAATATAAATAAAATAAAAACATTTAAATAAACACATACATGCATACTCACACACACACACACACACACACACACACACACAATTGGTTCTTCAGGTTACTGTGTAATATTTATGGTTTCTATTAGGGATGCACCGATACCACTTTTTCCAGTACTCGTTCGATACCGATACTTTTATTTTTGGTACTTGCCGATACCGAGTACCAATACCGATATTTTTATTGCATTTGTAAATTTTTTAAATATTGGGTACAGAAACCAAAAGGGTATGTATAATGT